GTGGTGGCCATGGTTGTGGAGTGGTGAGTCTGCGCACTACGGGACCTGCAAAGCAGAGGTTGCTGTTCCATTGCATGCCCCGGCTGGGCAGCTGAAACAAGGGGGCAATTGTCTTCAGTCCTCCTGACAGCTCTGTCCATCCACCAGCATAAATGGGTTCACCACAGGTAGTCTATGATTGGCGGGTAGTGCACAGTGGGGTAAATGGTGGGAATGTCCATCTCTTCCTGGACGTCTGCTATGTGGATGAGTAAACCAAATACCCTCTCTAGAGCTCCCTCTAGTGGAGGAGACCCCACCCACGAGCAGTGGCGTAAGCCAGCGGCTGAAGGTCTGCTCATTTACCTTTTATTGACATTCACCTTTTTTGCTGATGACACAGCCCTGATGGCGTCCCGAAATTCCATGGAGGAGTTACAACAGATTTCGATTTAAAGCTTTCGTGACTGCAATGATTCATCTTCTTTTGTTCTTTCGGTATTGTCACGTAGAATGATTATTGTGTTATTTTATTTTATCAATTTATTATTTTATTCTCATTCTACGTGACTTTACCGAAAGAACCAAAGAAGAGTTACAACAGCATCTACAACACGGCTTACGTAAACGTAAACTTAATTCCCAAAACTGGTCCTCAATGCTAAAAAGACCAAAGTTATGTTATATTCAGGCTGCCCAAAACCTGTCTCACCACCTATGCACGTGGTGGCTCTGGTCTCACCCTATTGAGCAGGTTGACAACTTTAAATATCTAGGCATTAGCCTCGACTCGAAACTTTCTTTATAGACTGGTGGCCACTGTCAAGGGTCCAGTGTTATGTCTGTATGCATGTAGAACTTCTTTCGCACCCTACATAGCCAACCGTGCTAATCCGAAGTGCGGGAAAAGAACAACAAACTAAACACAAAAAGCAGTTCTAAAGAAATTAGTTTTCAATATAGATTTAAAAGTGCATAGCTCCAGTGGCTTCCTAACATCAGAAGGAAGAGCGTTCCAGACGGCCACAGATGCGCATCTGAAAGCGCGAAGCAGAAGATATTAATATTCTGCTTCCTTGCCAGGACCTGCATAACACTCAAACCAGAGCTAACCAGCCCTGATATGTGCGATTTATTTTTGTAAGCGACAGAAAGCTCCAAACGTTTTGGAGGCGGTGGCCATTGGCGAACACCTGTGCTGGATCGTGGAGGCAAGGTAGGCCCGAGCCCGATCACTCGCCTAGCATGACGCACCCACGTGGGGGGGTGGGGGGGGGGTCAATTCTCAGCTTTGAAAGGCCCATCGGGCCAGCCAACATACCTGGGGTCGACCAAATCGTGCCTACCCTGTCCCTTCGGGAACAAAGAGCGCAGCAGAGAGGCTAAAAATCGTGGGGGGAGTGAAGCGACGGCCAAGCCAATCAGCAAAAATAGACACATCACAATTCAAATAAGTAGTATACTCTTAGTTTTTTCGGTAAAGTCACGTTGAAGAGAAACAACAAAATAACAAAATATATATAAAACAATAAAAAATTCTCACGACGTTTCGACCATAACTCAAACGGTCACACACCTGATGATGACCGTTTGAGTTATGGTCGAAACGTCGTGAGAATTTTTTATTGTTTTATATATATTTTGTTATTTTGTTGTTTCTCTTCAACGTGACTTTACCGAAAAAACTAAGAATATGAATTACTGCAGTCACGAAAGCTTTAAATCAAAATTTAAGTAGTATACTGTATACCAAAATATACTAAACAAAAAATAATTGAAATAAACATGTAAAAATCCGATACAAAAAAACATTCTGGGACAATAAATCTATATATATATAAAGGGAAATTGTGAATATCTGTGTGTCTGTTCGAAATGTTTAGCATACTTCCCGACATGCAACAAACTTTAAATTTGGCGTGTGGGTAGCTTCCAGATTGTACACAATGCAAAAAGTATAAAAATCAACTTTTGTATTTTGGGGGGCGGGGGGGGGGGCGCAATAATGGATATATTTTGCACGGCAAGTGAGCGGTGACGTCACATCTGTGATGTCACCCGCAAGCGGCAGCGTCACGTGCCTGCTGACGTCACGCAGTGTGCCTGCTGACGTCACGCATCCCCCTGCCCCACCACCCTCCGCGTAGACCGTGTATTAATCCAAGACAAGAATCCAAGTCTCGGGCGAAGCCGGGTAGTAAAGCTAGTATGAGTAGAAATACTCTACTTACCGATGAAACAAAGCGAGTGTGTTTCATATTCTTGGTTCTTTCGGTAAAGTCACGTTGAAGAAACACAATAAAATAAAAAAAATATATAAACAATATTGTTTTATATATATTATTATTTTATTGTTTCCCTTCAACGTGACTTTACCGAAAGAACCAAGAATATGAATCACTGCAAATCAAAGTTTAAAGCGAGTGTGTGTTTGTGCAGTAATGCTACGCTTAGCGTGCTACACTACAAACCCGAAATGTCACCACTTAGGGAGACAAAGGCGACCGGGCGTGGTGCTGGCCACCCACCACCTCGTGTGCCGTGCCAACTTGCATACGTGCTCGCTAACAGCACTTGCCCCAACAGTTTAACACGTAGGTTTTTGCGAACAATATCATCCATAGTAGAGGTTTTTTGGGTTAGATCGCGTAAATATATAAATGTGTCGTTAAACCCTCCACCACCTGACACAGCCAACTAGTAAAGGTTGTTAAGTTAACATGAGGAAACAGACAGATTTGGCTGTTGCCTGATGAAGCTAGTTGTAATTACTGGCGGGTTTAACGACACATTCATATATTTACACGATCTAACCCAAAAAAACCTCTACTAAGTCTGTTAAGTGGCTATATGTGGTGGGGAGACTTTTGTCCGCGAGATGCTTGCACGTCCCTCGCCCAAACCACCCTCGCACCACGGAATCATCCAATGACACGGTACTTTCGTGGGTTCAGCATACCAGCGAAAGGCCAAAACTATGCCCCGCGAGGGCTAAAACTGGATGCAAAGAGGTCGTTCGCCATAGGTCGAAACCGCGAATGATAAACCAGCGATATTCCAGGGTTTCCTGTACGATACATTTCCACATTAACCACTTCGCTGATATATCATTTGTGACCAGGTCGCTTCTGAAAAAGAGCTATATAGCTCAGTGGGCTTTACCTGGTAAAATAAAAAAAATGTTTTAGTCTAGTTTAAGATATATAGGCGCAAGCCACACCCCTTCCCCACGGGGGGCGGGGCTTCTATCTGCAGTTTTTTCACCGCAGATTTTTAGCGCTGGCGCAGATATGGGACGTTAATCTAGTTATAACAGTGGAGAGTCTGGTTGTGACTTGTGGCCACCGTGTGAGCAAACCAAAATTGGATTCTGACACAGAAACAAACGCTGTTTTCCACCGCTAACCCCACCTGAATACAGTTAAAGCCACCATCCTGCTCATATGTGATGATTGTGCCACCATCTACCGCCAAGTTTGTCGAATCGACCCTCAGATGTCTCATTCCATTACACCACTCCGCTCTTCGTTTAGCCCTTGGCGACCCCCGATAGAACTCGTCATCGCAACCTGTACATTCACTCCAATCCGTTCCCCCTTAATATCTGGAGAGACCATCTGTTTCGGGAATACACTCCCCCGCACATCGACAGCTTAGTTCCCTCCCTTCACTGCCCCTCTTTTTTTCCTTATTAAACCAAAACACAGCGCATAGTTGCAATTGCACTGTGAGTGCCCTCTTTTCTCCGACGTCTGCACTGTCATTTTTGCGATGTGTGTGTTTGTATTCTTGGTTTCTTTCGGTAAAGTCACGTAGAAGGGAAACAATAAAATAATACAAATATAAAACAATAAAATTCTCACGACGTTCGATTGCAACACAAGCAATCATCATCAGGTATGAAAATCACAGCAAGAAAGTGTGGCGGTTAAGAAAAAGTGGCTTTTTTAATTGCTTGTGTTGCAGTCGAAACGTCGTGAGAATTTTATTGTTTTATATTTTTTATTTTATTGTTTCCCTTCGACGTGGTGGTGACTTTACCGAAAGAACCAAGAATATGAATCCCTGCAGTCACGAAAGCTTTAAATCAAAACAGAAGGACTCGTCCATCTGAATAACTGCCAAATCGCTCTCCGTGGTGCTGACGTAAAAAAACCCGCCACTTTTTTAAACATTTTCCTGCTGTGGTTTTCACACCTGATGATGATTGCTTCTTGTGTTGCAGTCGAATCGTCGTGATAATTTTATTGTTTTATATTTTTATTATTTTATTGTTTCCCTTCTACGTGGTGGTGACTTTACTGAAATAACCAAGAATATGAATCCCTGCAGTCACGAAAGCTTTAAATGGAAGTGTGTGTGTGTATGTCACTGTTATACGAAAACATTTTAGCTTGCTCGCACACGTAACGAACTTTCCATGACACTTTTGACCGGTGTATACGTTTCCATTTATGACCGCTGAACGCCTCGTTTGTGATGTTTTGCAATAGTTTTAAGGACCCTAAACTTTTTCTGGGCAACGCCAATGTTTTGGTTTTGTTGTTGCTGTGTTTCCACACCACTGATGTACCTTGTGAAATAGCTGGCTCACTGGCTAAATGGGACCATCGGCGTAACAAATTAAATTAACTTCAACTTTAAACCGAGACACAAGGGCAAACGCATCACGTGGTGACTTGTGCCTGTGCGGTTTCTACGTTCGCACGACCCAATCGGCCCATCAGTTGCTCACATTCCACTGGACACGATCGCCGGTTCCTGACTTTTGTATCCTATTACCGGTTACCAGCCCCAGTCGGAAAGGGGCTTTCACCTCTCTGCAAAAGTAATCTGACTGCCCCACCCCTCCACGGATGTCCCCAGCCCTGCGGAATCAGGCTTGGTGCATCCCAGTGACAACCTCTGCGTGGACAGAGATGGGGGGCGCGGGGGGCGGGGGGGGGGCACTTCAGGGGCTTCAACCGGAGGCCCCCTGCGTGCCAAGTCGATGCGCCGGCGCTGATGCTGGAGGCACGCACCTGCTCCATAGAGTGGCCCTCGTATGCGTGCACGCGGCCCTGCATGCACACGCACACCTCCCCGCTCAGCAGCCCGAACAGCAGCCGCCCGGCGTGCCCTGGCACTACACTCACAAGGAGAGATTCAACCCCACCCCACCACCTCACCAACCCCCGCCTTTGTGTGCGAGACTGACGACTTTCACGACACGCAACATTTCTCGTAGCCGCAACCCTCTGCGATATAGCGGCAGAAACAATGATGAATGCAATATCGATTTGAAGTTTTTGTGACTGCGGGACCTTTCGGTAAAACGAATAGTTTTTTTAAATTTTATTTCCCACCTACGTGGTGACTTTACCGAAAGGACCAAAGAGTAATGATTAATGCATTCCTAACTGCCCGGATTGACGATTGCGAAACGCAGCCGCAAGAGTACTCGCTCATCATACCTGTAAGCGTCATCATATTAAGGGCCGTCCATAAATGACGTCACGCGTCTTTGGACGATTTTTGACCCCGCCCCCTCCCCCTCGTCACACGGCGTCACAAAAAGTCAGAACCCCCCCTCAAAAAGATGACGTCACAAAGCTCTGCCCCCCCAAAAAAAATAAAATAAAACATGCTTCAAATCGCTTTAAACTATTGTCATTGTAGTGCGTGTTTAATGTGGCGCTGCACTCTGATGTTGTAGGAGAAAACATTTATTAATAAGTCTATTTAATTAAGTAGAACGTGTTGTCTATATTTATTTAAAGTTGCGAATTTTGATGTGACGTCACATTTCTCAACCGCCCCCCCCCCACCTCGTCACACATCGTCACAATATCTGACCCCCCCCTCCCCCCATTAGGTGTGTGACGTCATTTATGGACGACCCCTAACAAAGAATAATTCCTGCAGTCACGAAAGCTTCTAATCTAATTTATAATTTATTGCTCTTTGGTTTTATTCGGTAAAGTCGCGTAGATAAAATAAAACCAAATAATTATTTTTCTTTTATTTTGTTTTATTTTACCTACGTGGTGACTTTACCGAATAAAACCAAAGAGTATGAATCCTTGCAGTCACGAAAGCTTCACATCTAGAATCTAATTTATTGATTTGTTTAATTTTTTTCTTCATATATTTTTTTAAAATCTTCCGACGCTTTTCATTTGATTGGTAGTTGCTATAAATAGGATTCCGTGCTCACATCTAATTATCAGTCAGCAGCATTGCTGGATGCAACGAGCATCAATGACGCTACATGCATTTAAATAGGGGGGTGAAGGCGGTGGAGGGGGGAGGAGTGTGGGGGGGTGGAGGAGGGTGGGGGGGAGGAGGGTGGGGGGGAGGAGGGTTTGGGGGGGGAGGAGGGTGGGGGGGAGGAGGGTTTGCGGGGGGGGGAGGAGGGTGGGGGGGAGGAGGGTGGGGGGGAGGAGGGTTTGGGGGGGGTGGAGGAGGGTCGGGGTGGAGGAAAGTGGGGGGAGGAGTGTGGGGGGGTGGTGGAGGACGGTCGGGGGTGGAGGAAAGTGGAGGAGGGTGGGGGTGTGGAGGAAGGTGAACGCAGGGGGCAGAGGCGGTGGGGGGGGTGTGGAGGAGGAGGAGGAGGAAGGGAGGCGCCCCAATACAACCACCGGTTGTGGGGCTTCATGACCGCGTCTCTCCTCAAGGTGATGGCTGTGCAGTGTTTGAGGAGGCGATAACTTTGTACCCTGATGCAATAAGCGATCGCCTAAAGTTCCGACCTTACTGACACTGATCGGGATGGTCTGGGCACTGAACGCCCCAGCTGGTATGGCGCGGTTCCACTTCAATAGCAATCATCTGGAAGAAGCATTTTACTTGGCGCACCGATCATAATAATGACTAAACTATGTACTTATATAAACATAATAGGTTTTTTTTTGCCTTTTTGTTTTCATAATACATGTTATGTATGTAACCCTTTTACCGATTTTTATAATCTTACATGACCAGGACAGGTGACATGTTATCATGTAAATCAACCATAAACACGTGACAAGACCTAGGTTTTTACAATTTATGAGTAAAACTCTATCTACACAAGAGACATAGATGTAAACTATAAAAACGTAATATCTTGGGAACAGTAGCCAATCAGTTGTTTTGATCATCATATCTGAATTCAGCACCAATCAACATCCATAATAAACGGCACATTTCATCTCTGAAGCAGACGACGTCTAAAAAAAATGCGTAGACCAGTGCTTACACGGGAATTTCATTGAACTAGTTTTGATTTCACTGACGCTCATCAGCAGGGCGCGTACCATAAACACGTGACAAGACCTAGCTTTACAATTTATGAGTAAAACTCTATCTACACAAGAGACAGACGTAAACTATACAAACGTTAATATCTTGGGAACAGTAGCCAATCAGTTGTTTTGATTGTCATATTTGAATTCAGCACATCAACATCAATAATAAACGGCACATTTCATCTCTGAAGCAGACGGACGTCTAAAAAAAAATAAAAAAATGCGTAGACCAGTGCTTACACGGGCATTTCATTGAACTAGTTTTGACTTCGCTGACGCTCATCGGCAGGCGCGTACCGGTGGTCTCGAGGAAGTTGGGGATGTCGCGGTAGTGGAATACGTTGGCGTCGCACAGTTGAGTGGCCAGGTCTCCGAGGCCAGAGCCGCACACGATCGCGACCTCCACGCCACACACACACACGCGCTCGCGTGGCGAGCGGTCGTTGCAGCGGTTAGAGCGGCGTGCTACGAACCCAGCGAACGGAGTTCGATCGCCGCTCACGGCCAACATCGGTGATGAACATCCGGAGCGGTCCTCGGCTTCACCTCGATCGACTCGGCGTCAAATGCGTTACCTGGGTTCGGTGCGCAAACATCGCCACTGGGGAGACGAAGGGGGGCCGGACGTGGTGCTGGCCACCCACCCCCGTTGTGTACCGTGACGGATTTTTATAGGTGCTCGCGAATAACACATGCCCCCACAGTCTGTTAAAGCCATCGATGAACGATATTTCAATGAACGATCCGCCTCCCATAGGCTCCCATTGTTTCGATTAACGATACATTTTCGTTTAACGATATACTGCGGCTGGCAATTTCGGCCAATCGGAGTGCTCCTACGTGGACTCGGCAGATCTCAGCCAATCAGCGATTCCCTTTTATGAGCATTTTGAGAGCAACCGGCTACTTTAAGCCATCCATCTCTTTAGCCTAAGGTAATAAATTTTTTTTATTTTATGCTCAAATTATGCACCTTTTTACACTCTTTATTAATTGTTTATCCACGTTTGTATTAATAGTAATGCTTTAATATGTTCTGAGAACGTTTATTAAAATTGTGTGTTAATTATTATAAACTATGTTTTTAGGGTGAAGGTCAACCTTACGATCGTCTTGGAACAAATTGATTCTTTAACATGTATTTCCTATATTCGATAAACGATATTTTCAATAAGCGATTCAGTTTCGTGGAACCAATTAACATCGTTAACCATGGGACCGCTGTACGGGGAATATTTGTCTTTGTTTAATGATAGTGACTGTGGTGGTGGTAGTGGTGGTGATAATAAACGTGACTGTGGTTGTGGTAGTGGTGGTGGTGGTGTTAAGGAAAGTGACTGTGGTGGTGGTAGTGGTGGTGGTGATAATAAAAGTGACTGTTGTTGTGGTGGTGGTGGTGACGATAGTGGTGGTGGTGTTGGTGACGATAGTGGTGGTGGTGGCGATAGTGACTGTGGTGCTGGTAGTGGTGTTAGTGGCGGTGCTGATGATGTGGAGACAGCGAGCCACCTTTGGCCGGTGCTCCGTGCGGGACAGCAGCCACTGCGCTGTTAGCTCATAGTCTTCGTACGAGTATCGCCTGGACGAGCGCACACACACACACACACGTTCACACCTCCTCACCCATCATCCTCCTCGCCACCACCCGTCATGTTCCTAAACCTCAAATCCACTCCATCCCTTTCGGCTTCTCCTCCACCCTGGCTGCAGCGTGATAGCGATCCTGGGAGCAGTCCGGCTGGCAGAATGGGATGCGAACGCTGCATTCGAACGCCTAGAGGCGACTGCTTTTTTTTTCTTAAGGACCCACCCAACGCAATGTCAGCATGGGTGGTGAGGTCGTGGCAGCACCTCCATCGAGTCGTCGCAGGGCGCCACGGTGGAGCGGTTATCTAAACCAGGGGTCCCCAACCCCCGGGGCCACGGACCGGTACCTGTTAGGAACCGGCCAGCACAGCAGGAGGTGAGAGCTGTGAGTCCGCGCGTGGCGCGCCAATTATTTTATTATTCACCACCTCCGTCCGCGCCCCTTTCCCGCACTGCGCACTTGTCTCAGTAAGAGTGTTGGAAAGCCAACGAGCTCTAACCCCTAGTAGCCACAATGAGAAAGCCCACAAGCTCTAACCCCTAGTAGCCACAATGAGTAAGCCCACAAGCTCTAACCCCTAGTAGCCACAATGTGTAAGCCCACGAGCTCTAACCCCTAGTAGCCACAATGAGTAAGCCCACAAGCTAACCCTTTGTAGCCACAATGAGTAGGCCCACAAGCTCTAACCCCTAGTAGCCACAATGAGTAAGCCCACAAGCTCTAACCCCTAGTAGCCACAATGAGTAAGCCCACAAGCTCTAACCCCTAGTAGCCACAATGAGTAAGCCCACAAGCTCTAACCCCTAGTAGCCACAATGAGAAAGCCCACAAGCTAACCCCTAGTAGCCACAATGAGAAAGAACACAAGCTCTAACCCCTAGTAGCCACAATGAGTAAGCCCACGAGCTCTAACCCCTAGTAGCCACAATGAGTAAGCCCACAAGCTAACCCCTAGTAGCCACAATGAGTAAGCCCACAAGCTCTAACCCCTAGTAGCCACAATGAGTAAGCCCACAAGCTCTAACCCCTAGGAGCCACAATGAGTAAACCCACAAGCTCTAACCCCTAGTAGCCACAATGAGAATGCCCACAAGCTCTAACCCCTAGTAGCCACAATGAGAAAGCCCACAAGCTCTAACCTCTAGGAGCCACAATGAGTAAGCCCACAAGCTCTAACCCCTAGTAGCCACAATGAGGAAGCCCACAAACTCTAACCCCTAGTAGCCACAATGAGTAAGCCCACAAGCTCTAACCCCTAGTAGCCACAATGAGAAAGCCCACAAGCTCTAACCCCTAGTAGCCACAATGAGCCCACAAGCTCTAACCCCTAGTAGCTACAATGAGTAAGCCCACAAGCTCTAACCCCTAGTAGCCACAATGAGTAAGCCCACAAGCTCTAACCCCTAGTAGCCACAATGAGTAAGCCCACAAGCTCTAACCCCTAGTAGCCATAATGAGTAAGCCCACAAGCTCTAACCCAAAGTAGCCACAATGAGTAAGCCCACAAGCTCTAACCCCTAGTAGCCACAATGAGTAAACCCACAAGCTTTAACCCATAGTAGCCACAATGAGTATGCCCACAAGCTCTAACCCCTAGTAGCCACAATGAGTAAGCCCACAAGCTCTAACCCCTAGTAGCCACAATGAGTAATAAACACAAGCTAACCCCAAGTAGCCACAATGAGTAAGCCCACACGCTCTAACCCCTAGTAGCCACAATGAGTAAGCCCACAAGCTCTAACCCCTAGTAGCCACAATGAGTAAGCCCACAAGCTCTAACCCCTAGTAGCCACAATGAGTAAGCCCACAAGCTCTAACCCCTAGTAGCCACAATGAGTAAGCCCACAAGCTAACCCCTAGTAGCCGCTAAGCCCACAAGCTCTAACCCCTAGTAGCCACAATGAGTAAGCCCACAAGCTCTAACCCCTAGTAGCCACAATGAGTAAGCCCACAAGCTCTAACCCCTAGTAGCCACAATGAGTAAGCCCACAAGCTAACCCCTAGTAGCCGCTAAGCCCACAAGCTCTAATCCCTAGTAGCCACAATGAGTAAGCCCACAAGTTCTAACCCTAGTAGTCACAATGAGTAAGCCCACAAGCTCTAACCCCTAGTAGCCACAATGAGTAAGCCCCACAAGCTAACCCCTAGTAGCCACAATGACTAAGCCCACAAGCTCTAACCCCTAGTAGCCACAATGAGTAAGCCCACAAGCTAACCCCTAGTAGCCACAATGACTAAGCCCACAAGCTAACCCCTAGTAGCCACAATGAATAAGCCCACAAGCTAACCCCTAGTAGCCACAATGAGTCCAAAAACAAAATTCGCTGGAGAGTTTCTTTGAAAAGGGGGAAAGACCCAATGATAAACCGCCCCCCCCCCGGTCGGTGAAAAAATTGTCTTCTACGAAACCGGTCCCTGGTGCAAAAAGTTTGGGGACCGCTGATCTAAACTACCGCTTGCCACGAATCCCACGGGAGAGCGGCTTCACTCAGCTCGCCACTGCCAGGCCGTGGCAGGAAGCCAGGGTCTCAAATCTGTTCGCCTGGCGTGCTCCCACGACAAACCAGTGAGCCCCACCACCAGGGGTGGGGTCCACATGCTGCCTCGCATCAGCGTTCATAGCTGCGCCCGTGGTGGCTCTGCACGTGGCTTGGAATCCAGCTCCGTGAAGGCTCACAGGGACAAGGGCAGCAGAATCAATAAGTAATGTTTAAAAATGATGTTTTAAAAAACAAACAAACCACGCTTTAATGAAATGTACCGTGCTAGTAATGGAAGAACTCCACCACGACTCCAGGAAGAGGACCCGAAGCTTGCCAGTAACGTAAGGGGGGGGGGGAACCCGTGATGATTTTACAGCCAACGTGAGTTGAGCGTGGACAATTTGACCCGAGCCGAAACATAAGATTTTCAAAAGATTGCTTTTAAAAAAATAAACATTTAATTATATAATATGGTATTGTCATCAGTATGACATCAGTGTACCAAGTTTGCGCAGTCGATACCACATTGAGAAGTGGGTTAAAATTGAGTTACAAGATTTGAGGACACAACAATGACAACAGACAGAGTGAGTTAAATAAAAGCGCGTAAAAAAATGTGGACTCCACCACCTCCGTCTCGACTGCATGTGGTGGAGTGTTTTCCCCCACATGTATGCACACTCGTTAATTGACTGGTAACTGAATATGTAGAGGACTGCAGAGCTTGCAGGTAGCGACGGCTCCTCGGGGCGCGGTTGCTGGCAGCAACATTAAAACATTTATTTTTTATTTTTAAACTTGCATAGTTAAAGTCATTGTATTTTTTTGTTATGCGCTATGCAGCCGAATACCCGACAAATCGCTCACCTTAAACACCCAGTCGTTCATACAATTTTAGGGCATTATAGTACTACAGTGATAGAGCAAGTGCAGAATCACTGAACCGGATTGATAGCTTGAAAGCGTTTAGCGCGGGGCCCTTTAAAGTGCGGGGCCCGTAGCTACTACTACACATGTAGTAGTAGCTACTACACCATGTGTAGTAGTAGCTACTACTACACATGTGTAGCTACTTCTGTGACGAGGATCATCCGACACTGCAGATTATTATGACAATCGTAACTGCTTACCCACAACGCTGAGAATCAGCCATGTCGCCTCGACCGCTGCTTCTCTTCGGCCTCCCTCCTGACTCTCGCCCCTGGCTTCAGTGTCCGCACAAGCGGCCACTCCGATCCGTGTGCCCTGCAGGCAGCGGCGAGGGTCACTCTCTCGCCCCCCCCCTCACTCGCCTCCCTCCCCCTTCGCCTCCCTCCCCCCTCCCCTCCCTCCCCCCCCCTCGCCCCCCGCCCCCCCTCCCTCCCCCCCCCTCCCTCGCCTCCCCCCCCATCCCCCTCTCGCCTCCCTCCCTCCCCTCTCTCTCTTCGCCCGAACTGCGGGCGACTTGCGGTCACCACGCAGTGCCTGGCGGTGATTCGCGACGTGAAGGTGTGGAGGGAGGAGGGGAGTGTGGAGGGGTGTGAGGGGTGTGGAGGGGGTGGAGGTGTGAAGGGGGTTTTGAGGTTTAATTGTGGGGGGGGGGGGGGATTTGGTGGGTGAGGTTGGCAAGAAGAGGTTTAGAGAAAGTTTGGCCAGTCGAAGGCTCCGAGGCTCTGGAGGTAGAACAGATTTTCCCATTTTCTCTCTCATTTTCTCATTGCTGGAGTGCAGCCGGAGTCGCGTTGGAGCTACTGGAGCCGAGGAGGCTGGAGGAGAGCTGGGGATGCAGAGAACAGGAGTGGAGCTGGAACCTCTAGCCAATGGATATGAAGTAGAGCTGGCATTGCCGGATGAAGCTAGTGCAGGGCCTGTAGCATGTGTAATTGTTTCTTTTTCATTTGCTATACAGTCAGAAAATACGATAAATCGCTACCTTAAACACCAGTCGTTCATAAAAGTTGAAGGCGGTATAGTACTATAGTGATAGAGCAAGTGCAGAATCACTGAACCGGAATTGATAGCTTGAAAGCATTTAGCGCGGGGCCCTTGAAAGTGCGGGGCCCGTAGCTACTACTACACACATGTAGTAGTAGCTACTACTACTACACATGTAGTAGTAGTAGCTACTACTACACGTGTAGTAGTAGCTACTACTACACTACTACTTACTGAGTGTGTGGTTTTTTTGTTAATTTGGTTACCAGCCAGATAATTACGACAAATCGCACCGTACGTAGCCAACTACTACTACTACACCTGTAGTAGCTGCTACTACTACACGTGTAGTAGTAGCAGCTACTACTACACGTGTAGCAGCTACTACTACTACACGTGTAGTAGCTGCTACCTACACGTGTAGTAGCAGCTACTACTACACGTGTAGTAGCAGCTACTACTACACGTGTAGTAGCTACTACTACTACACGTGTAGTAGCTACTACTACGTGTAGTAGTAGCTACTACACATGTAGTAGCTACTTTTCAACTAGGATCATCCGGCACTGAGAGCTGGGGGTCACTGGAGCCGGAGTGGAATAGACCCTGCCCCCGCCTTAAAAAAATGCACATTGGGAATGCCACCTGCTCGTCTCCCATCCAATCACGCGCAATCAAACTCTACAATTCCAATGCCGATGGGGCACATAACCTAGCTACCTTTAACACGGACGCTATCCCGGACCCTATGCCAAATGATAGCCGCAGCCCTAATCCCATCCCAAACGCCAGGCCTAACCACGATTCCTATTCCGAAACAGGGTTTTCTATCCCTCAATGTATGTTGAACTTCTTTCGCACCGTACGTAGCCAAACGTGCTAATCGGAGGTGCGGGGAAAGGACAACAAACTGAACACACCGGCTAGCCCCAATTACATCCCTCACACTCGCCCTTAATCCTATATAATACAACTGTAACCTCAAATTTCTTAATTCTAACTGCTAAACCCCCAACTGCAACACTACACCGGCCCATATAATTAACTGCCAACTCTAGCCACGATGCTAACCCTCATCCTAACGTCAACCCAAACCAATCCCCTCTATCCCAACCTCTGTGCCCCGCTATCAGTAGCGGACCGATGGGGTGGATGGGGGGGGGTGGAGGGTGTGAGCACGTTGTTCCCGATTGTTTGTTCTGCGGTGCTGACTCGGGACACCGCATCCTTATCAGCGATGCTCTTTGCCCATGAACGTCACCCCGCTGCTGCTAACGCGAGGGGGGCCAAGCCACAACCATACCCACCCCCACCAACCGGAGCCAATTACCCCACCCCCCCCGTTCCCGGCCAAAGCCACTGTCCCCTGTCCAGCCAATTTCTCCCCCCAACCCCCGTAGCATGTGTAGCAAAAGTAGCTACACATGCTACGGGCCCCGCACTTTCAAGGGCCCCGCGCTAAACGCTTTCAAGCTATCAATTCCGGTTCAGTGATTCTGCGCTTGCTCTATCACTATAGTACTATACCGCCTTCAACTGTTATGAACGACTGGGCGTTTAAGGTTAGCGATTTGTCGTAATTATCTGGCTGGTAACCAAATAAAAAAAACCACCACTTACTTTACTATGCAAACTCTTTGGTTCTTTCGGTAAAGTCACGTAGGATGAAACAAAATAATGGATCAGGACGTTTCAATCGCAACGCAAGCAGCCGTCATCAGGCGGAAGAAAGAGGAGGAAGCTGCTGATGCAGGCTGCTTTCAAAGGTTAGAGATGGCGTAGCCCCAGAGTCATAAACGAAGTGGGGGCGGGGGGGAGCTAGTGATGTTAAAGTGAGAAATTTGCACGTAAATGTAATGTGTAGATGTGATTAGCACGTCAATGTAAGCTCGCAGCGCGCCGTCACATCGAGGTCTGCATGGAATTTGAAGGGAAAATAGCATGAGGTGGTAGCTCGTTTTTAGAAGGTAGTGATGCTACCATCTGGAGGGCGATAGATGGAAATGATGGAAAAGCACTCACAGTTAGTAGTGAGGGACACGGATTGGACCTCGAAGGTGGCGGGAGCCATTGGTAGATAGAGCTCTTTAATTTTCAAGTGAGCATTGTAGACGACTGCTAAGCCACCACCCCGCTGGTTAGTTGCGTGAGGTTTGTGAAGAACCTTGTATCCCGGGGGCGCGACTTCCAGAGAGATGGCTGGCAGGGAGTCTGGCCTGCACCAGGTCTTGGTAATAAGCAAAAGGTCGATGTTGTGGTCCGAGATATCGTGAATCAGGAATGATTTGTTGGTAATGGAGCGTGAGTTGAGTAGGCCAAGGCGGATGTGCGAAGGTGGATGTGAAGATCCGAAGAGGCGCGATGTCGAGAGGTCAAAGGAAATAGCTGGTTGAAGGTTGACCTGTGAACGGCGGCCCCTACCGCCTCTGCAACCACGGTGCCGATGCAGTCTCTGACGTTGACCGCGAAGGAGCCCGAGGCCAGAGAGCGTCCTCAGGAGCGCAGGTTCCAGGTGCAGGTGATGAAGAGGTGGTTCATGTCGAAGCCCTATTATATCAGCCCATGCTGTACCGGTGGTGGCGATTGGGGGGTCAGGATTCGGGTGGACTCCGATCAGCGGCTGTTGCAGCGCCGCAGGGCGTGTGTATATGAGGTGATTGTGTGTCCTGTGTTTAATCCTTGCGTACACTTGCAAACACAAACAGCATCACTTCATAACCCTGCAAAATACAGACACACCAGTTACACAAGATTAATAGAGGCCCACAGACTCACACATAGGCAGACTCACAGAGACACATGTACTCACAAGGAGAGAAGCAAATAATATAGAGACATGCAGATTCACAGAAACACAAACTCCTACGGATACACGCATACTCATTCAGAGACTCAGACACATTGAGGGAATGACGCAAACTCACAGAGAGAAGTGTAGATTCACAGAGAGACACACAAACTAACTCAGAAATACCGATCCACGGAGATTCACAGACTCGCAGAGACACAAACCTATATAGAAACACAAAGTCACACAGAGACATGCGGAACTCACACAAAGACACAGAGGGACTCACATACTCACACAGAGACGCACGGAAACAGAGCTTACTATTTTTAACTATTCCTATATATATTTTTTTCACCAGGTAAGCCCCGTCGAGCCAAATAGTTCTTTTTTCAGAAGCGATCTGGCCACAAATGAAGTTGAATATCATATGGGACATTCGTAGTGTTCGATTTCACTCGGACAACTTCTGTCTTTCTCCGTACACCGCTTTATTTACAACTCTCAGCATGTCCTCCACATTCCACAGTATCCTGGTCGCCACGGCTCTCTCGCCGTGCTTCACTCGACTCGCTCGCCACCTTTGTCTCTCCACTCCCCACGATTGCTTCTCTTACTCCCCACGATTACTTCACTTACTCCCCACGATTACTTTGCTTGCTCCGCCGCTAACTTCTTCGTCTCCGCTATCCGCTATCACCGTCGCTATGCTCTCTCCACTGCTAACTTCTTCGTCTTTGTTCACCGCTATCACCGTCACTATGCTTACTCCACTGCTAACTGCTTCATCTCTGTTCAGCATCGCTATCGCTACGCTCTCTCCACCGCTAACTACTTCGTCTTTGTTCAGCTTCGCTATCGCTACGCTCTCTCCAAGCTCCGTCTCCAACTCTGTCTCCCTTCCACTCTGTATTCCAAACTCTGTCTCTCAAACTCTGTCTTCCAACTCTGTCTCTCAAACTCTGTCTCTCAAACTCTGTCTTCCAACTCTGTCTCTCAAACTCTCCACACTTCAATTCCCCCTGTTGACTCCAAGCTCTCCAAACTCCAACTCCTGCTCCAATTGCCAACTCCCCCAATTTATCCACGCTCTCATCACACCCCAATTAATTAACCCGCGTCCCAACGGCACCCCGCGTGATCCATACACCTGTTTCTCGCCAGACTTCAAGACGCCTCTCCAGCCCCGGCAACAGCACCAACCAATCACAGCCGTCCTTGGCTCTCCCAACCTAATTGCCCTCACATAACCTGTAATGTATTTGTTATCATGTAATCACGCTGTTTCCACAACGCACCTTCGTACTCCACTACACATTTATAGCAGCCAAATACTCTAAACGTATGTTTATAACGTGGAGGGTGAAAACCTGATGGCCCAAAGAAAAATCCACTTGACCACGGGGAGAACTGCAAACTCCAAATACAACATAGAATACAGGCGTCAGTGACGGGATCGAACCTACAACCTGTGTACCTAGGCGATGTAGTTGACATCTGGCCACAGCGGCCCTGTTTAGATACTCAATGTAAATATGCAGAGATACGCAGACA